ACACACACACACACACACACACACACAAACACACCAAAAAAACAAAAAAAAAAACTTGCCAGTCAACATTACTTGGCAGATCACAGGAGGCCGCAGACATGGACACGAGTATTCCGAGGGTGCGCAGTGTGTGGATAGATTCCCCCATGTGCATCTGAGGGGCTGTTGCCATCCACACTCGATTCTCAAACTGCACACATCTTCGGGAATGCAACAAGCTGTATGTGCTCATGTGGGATTTTCGAGACGTAGTCGCCTCCAAAAAATTCTTCAACAGAGATTGTCAGGTTGAAAAGGCATCGCGGTTTTCGAGACGGCATGCAAGTTCTCTGCAGTCGTGGTGATAGCGCCCCAGTACAGGGACAAACAACTTTTTATTTTTTCGGAAGCGTGCTGAGCCACACCAGTGAAACGTCTCTTCAAAGATAGGTGGACGAAAGGGTGCACGTAACGCAATCTTGCCGTCCAGTGCATCACCATAGGGCACCCTGAATAGCGCCCTGGCACTGCTGGTGCTCCTCGTTCTCTGGAGCACGTCGCTGTTCGTTCTTTCCGTCCATACAAAACCTATCACACACCGGACCATGGACAGAGACACGGAAGCACAGAGACATTGTCGGTGCTCCTTGTTCTCCAGAGCACGCCGCTGTTCGTTCTTTCTGTCCATACAAAACCTATCACACGCCGGACCATGGACAGAGACACAAAAGCAAAGAGACGTTAAAAAAAGATCGGAGGCGAGGGCTGAGGAATATGGTTCGCACCAAGTAGAGTCTACTGGATTTGTTGCAGTGCTCAAGGAGCGCCTTGGCCTTCTGTAATGCTTCCATCAAGTCTTCCATGCAGGCAAGAGCTTGATTTGACAATGGCTGCCCGCTGAGTCGAATTTCTTCCAGTAGCGGACTAAGCACCTTGATGCGCTTCACAAGCGCCTGGCAGTTGTTCTTATGCGTCTTCGACTTCCTGCTCATCGTAATTAACAATTCCACGAGGTTCGCAAGCGACCCCAGCATCCCAACTGTCGCCTCCATAACTCCCAACATAAACCTCTGCCTCCTGATTCAGAACTATAAACTGACTGTCCGTAAATAGCCCGCCACCTTCTTCGGCACTCCAGCACGGTAACTAGATGAACAGAAAATTACCGTGCAAGTCAATTCAGTCCGTGGTTAGTGTAAATGTGGAAGTGAAAAAAGTGTCCATCTATCTGGAAAGCAATTCAGGTTAAGAAGACCCATTCAGTTAAAGATGAGCTTTTTTTTCAGAAGTTTTCTGCCTCAAAATAGACTTAAATACTTCTTTTTGGACTGAAAGTTCAGTGAAATGCAAATTTAATGCACGAAATATCCAAAATAGAATTTCAGTTTGAGAAGGGAAAAAAAAAATTAAAAAAAATGAATTTCAGTGTGATATAGACGGAATTTGAGATTGAAACATATTGACTTCACGTGCAAACAATGACAAATTTGTTTGGACTGGAATAAAACAGGGCCCCAGACAGTCCGAAATAAAACACGCATCCGCCGCGTGTTTGGACTGAAATAAAACAGGATGCCTCCATCCCCCTTCCCCTCTTTTCTTTCTTGTCTTTTTCTCCATTGATGGTTCACATGGTGGTTGTGTGTGACAATAACCATACAGTCCATGTGGTTCTCTCTCTCTCTCTCTCTCTCTCTCTCTCTCTCTCTCTCTCTCTCTCTCTCTCTCTCTCTCTCTCTCTCTCTNTGTGTGTGTGTGTGTGTGTGTGTGTGTGTGTGTGTGTGTGTGTGTGTCTGGCCTGAGAGGTCCTGATGTGTAGTCCCACTACCAGATGCGCACAAGAAGAGTGACATGATGTGTAGTCCTAAGGGATGTTTCCTTCTCTATCAGCAATGTCAATTTTCCCAAGCCCATAAAGTTTGGCGTAAACCCCCAGATCTACCCCTAGCACAACTTGACAGTATAGTATCACCACATTGTTCCAAATCTACCCCTATCCGAGGCTTGCCACCAATCAAGCAGACAAATTGCAGATCTACCCCTTCAACATCTTCCAGACCGTTTCAACTTTCAACAGAATCAAACTTCTCTTTGAGCACCCTCAGGTCGTGCTTAATATGAAAGCATACTAGCACCCTCACGTCGTGCTTTTGTTCACGGAGTCCACTCCTTCCGTCTCAGAGATGATTCAAATCTTTTGATCAGTTTTCCCCAACATCTCTGCTAGACGCTGCCGACACCTTTCTTTCTTCATTTTTTGTCGTTTGATTTATTTTTTTTTCTGGGGAGCACCACTAGGGTTCGTTTTCCACCGGCAAATCATTTATTTTAATTATTTACAAGAAGCACCCGCTCACGTTTCCCTCCATTTGGCCAAAGGACCCGTGAACAGCGTTGATTACTCCTTGGAGGATTGATGACTGTCAGCATTCCTTTCTAAAGGCCATACTCACACTGGGAGTTTTTCCACTTCTCTGTGGGCGTAATTGCAGTCAGGTGCAGCCGGTCCAAGTCAACATCCACGACAGTCGTAGTGTGAGTATGCCCTAAATCCGCATTACTTTCATTTGGTGATCTGCCCATCATCATCCAGATCTTCGGCTATATAAAGTCTCCCAGTGTTCTTCTCTGTTCGGTTCTTCCACATGAGCTGCTATCTCCGATAATCATGCAGCTTTTCAACAACCTTCTTGTCCATGGCTCTCCCTTTTCCTCTTGGAGAAGCCTTCTCCGTGGGCATCCTTGCCCAGGTCCATATCGCTACCGCCGTCCCCCCAGCACAACAACACACCCTCATTTTCCATGTACCCAACTGGAAAGATAGCTTGTATACATTCATTATCTATACATTTCTACATTGTCCATGTCCCTTGCTAAGGATGGCAATAAGCCTTCTCAGCTCAGCTTCCTTGCTCCATGGGGGTTATTGCTTATTGCTGCCTTTACCTCCTACGCTCCATGGCCATCCTAACTCTTGCTTCCTCTCTGTCCATCTCCTCTCACTTCAGCTTGTTCTTTCTGCACTCAAAGCTACACCCATAATTCCTTCATGGTACTTTCTCCACTCAAAGCTACACCGCTGCCTTTATCTCCTACGCTCCACGGCCATCGTAACTCTTGCTTCCTCTCTGCCCATCTCCTCTCACTTCCGCTTGTTCTTTCTGCACTCAAAGCTACACCCATAACTCCTTCCTGGTACTTTCTTCACTCAAAGCTACACCCACAACTCCTAGTTCTTTCTGCACATATACTTCTTTTCCGCACTCAAAGCTACACTCATCCTTCATAGTTCTTTCTGCACTCCACGCTAGACCAAATCATTCCTTCATTGTTGTCACATCATCCTCTGATTGTCGTCTACTCTGCCAGTACCTTGTGTTGTTGTCCATGAAGGCTCCTTGCTCTTCCCCAGTCCGCGGATTGCTTCCGACATAGCAGTAGCAGTTCCCCCCGCATAATACCCGCTTAGCTGCAGCACACTGGGCGACCGCAAGGAGTCGTCGTCGTTGCCACTACAGCCTGCTCTGTCCATCTTGTTTGTTTGGCACCAGCGGACATCTCGCTATCAAACTCGATTTTTAGTTGGAGAAGCAATGGTGAGTCAAGGTTTCGACTCCAGATCGCTATCGCCGAACCGTCACTCATTTCAAAACTTCGCTACGCCACGCACTTCACATACCCACTCCCACTCAGTCAACCCAAAGTCAAACTGCCCTTCCACATCCCCGCCTTGTTTAAAAATCGCCCTTTGTTTCAACCGCCAGAACACGCCACACATTGGCCACGGGCCCCTTCTGGAGGCCGCTAATGGAATTTATCAATGGCGGCCCGACCCCAACCTTTTCGGATGGGCAATGCGTTTCTTTTCAGCAAGGCTGGGGGCTGTGTACTGGTGGTTTAAACCATGGAAACCACCGATAGTGATCCTTTCTCATACACGGTACACCTTAGCGACTCTACTGCTCTTTTGTCACACAAACTTGCTACTGGTCTCTCTTCTTGTGGACCTGGGAAACTACTATACGCTGCTCCTTTCGATCTAATATGTGCACACCACATTGCATGCCTAAGCAAGTGCTAGTGACCTTGCATTGTGAAGTTCCGATAAACAAAAGAAAAGCCTAAGCTAGCGCTAGCCTCTTTCGGAGTTCGGGGTCAAAAACCTCTGGCTATCAAACTCTCTCTACTGGTCCGTTCTCTCGCAGTACACCTGAGCTACTCTGCCCTTCTTCAGTCACCAGAACTGGCTACTTGTCTCGTCTTTTACAGTAAACCTGAGCAACTACACCCTCCTTTTGTCACCTACCATCTTCTCCCGAATAGAACGCCCGGTCATTATAGCCGTATCTGGACTGAAAATTGCACCAAGTACGGCTATAATGATTGGGCGTTCTATTCGGGTGAAGACGGTAGTCTGTTCACACCACCTTGCACATCTAAGCTAATGCTACCCTCTTCCCAACGGCGGCCTGGTAGGGATCCCTGGCCACTCTTCACAAGTAAAGATAGCCACCATTGTAATAACTTATAAGTGTCTCCCCTGCCTATGCGACAAGAGAACAGGGACAAGCAATCGCTGAATTGCTTCGCAACACACATTTTCAATTACCAACGTTACAAGGCTACAAGCTCTGTGTGTTTCTTACCTTTTCTCTTGCTCTAGTACACATGTCCCTAGGCATTAAGACCGGTTGCCCGCCAGTCTCATTAGGGGACAGGTTTATGCACCCCTCTAAGGACCTGAATCGGTGATCTCGTTAGGGGACAGTCTACTAGCCCTTCCCTTTGTGGCCCCCCCTTTGCCCTTCAAGTTCTTCAACCCTTTCTACAAGCAGCCACTCACTCTCTTGTTGTCCAGGCTCTCATCATCCCTGCAACGGATGGGAGTAAAGGCCTCCTCCAACGTTAATGAGAAAAAAGCTACAATTTGATTCACAGCTAATTTACGGAGATCATCTCTTTTTTTTCCTAGCAAATCCTTGTTTTTTCGAAGCATCCTGTATATTTTTCAGCAGACAAAGACGCTCCACTACACAACACTCTACATGCAGTTGGACGCTCTCTGGACCAGGTGCATCCATACGAGTCCAACATGTTGAATGCATTGGGTCCAGAGAGCAGCGTCCAAATGTATGACGAGCAATGTGTTATGGAGCGAGGCCCTAATTCGGGGTAGCTTTGCGCACGACTTGGACTCTATTTTTTTACTTCCCTTTTTTCCCCCTGGGGATGTAGTGTGACCCGCCAGCCTCTGGAACTGCGCCATCTTCTGACCCCACCCACCCCCCACCTTCCTTCTCTTCAAATTTTTGTTGTCTTTTACAAACAGGCCGAAGAGGCCCCTTTTTGTGTTTCCATGGATTAATGTGCATTGTTCGTGATCGGAGAGGCCCGTCCCTCTCAAGACCTTCGTCATTTTGGGCCGCTTTTTAGAGTTCCATCCTTTTTGCAATTTGGGAAATACATGGGAAATACGCGCGCCTTAGCGAGCACGCTAGGAATTTGTGTCGACCGTTAGGAATTCCGAAATAAGCGGGACCTGATGTGTCCTTTCTTGTGCATGAATGTTCTCGACTTCGTCTTGGAAAACTCTGGGACTCCCGCGTTCACTCTACGCGCGGATATGGTGTTTTTCAATTTTTTATTCTGAACGAGTTGTAACTGTTTCGATGCCCTTTTTGCTTCCGCATCGACGCCATGCATGCGAACTTCCCCCCTCCCCGCTTCCCTCGCTACCTTCGACACTCTCTTCTTCGCGCTCATGCTCCTTCTCTCTCTATAACCGTTTTTCATCTCTCCCTTGCCTCACGCGCCTTTTCTCTTTCTTGATCATCTGAATCTTTTTCCCATTTCGCACTACCCTTCGCGCCTTTCTTCTCCCCGCTCTAATCCTTGAGCTGGAATACCCTGTCGATTTCCTCCTCCTCCCCTCTAGCCAAGAAGACGCGCCGTGTAAGAAGGAAATACTTGTTACACGACGATTCTGATTGGCTACGACTGGGGATCGACATGGCTTTCCTCGGGCGATTACCCCCGACCTTTCCCTTACCCCTCCCCACCTCGGTCTTAATCCTTCCTAGCATCTATCTCATTTTTCCGCAACTATAAATTCCGCAAGTGCGTCTGAAAAGCTCTCTCTCAACTTA